TTCGGACAATCGGTGCCGGTGTCACGGCGAAATTCCACTTTTTTCCCCATCATAGAAGCCGTAAATTGACTTGAGGCCAGGGTCCTTGAAGTTATACAGCTGCACCCGGTGACCGATATTTATTTAACGGGGAATAAGTGATAATTCATATTATAGCAGTAAATAATTAAAATATTTCATAGGGATTATAATAATATGTAAGCTTATATCATGTCTGGGTATTGGAGGGTTAAAACCAATATTAAATTCCGAAAATCGTTTTTTTGCTAAAACTCTTTTTTTTTAATGGTATCAAAATGGGGGTAAAGCACAGAGTCCGGGGTGGTAATGGGCGTATTGTGTCCAAATTTCATGGTTTTCGGACAATCGGTGCTGGTGTCACGGCGATATTCCACTTTTCTCTCCTCATGGAAGCCGTAACGAGGAAAGGCAGGTGACAAGAACAAACGACTTGAACGAATGCAGGTATCACCTTGTAATTTTCAGGGTACCTAGGTACCAACGTGAAAAGTTGCTCGCGGGAATTTAGTACTCATGGTACCGTTGGTTCCTGTGTAGCGCATGCGCGAATTCAAAACCAGCTAAACTCGAAAACAACCTTGTCGGCACGGAAAACATCAAAGGAGAAATTCGAATTTTTGAAACATTCAAATACCAAACACCCGACCATGATCCAGGCTATCCTGAAATGTAATAATTTCGGTAATAGGAGACACATTCTTTAAGTCACGACCAATTGTGTATGTTTTCAAGCCCATTAATGTGGATTTTTCACTATTTTTCATTTTCAATTCAAAATGGCGTCCATCAGTTGACCTGAATCAAAATTCTACTGCCTACAAGGATTTAGAAAATATAATCCCCTTGTCTGTAAGTAAAATATCAAAAAAGCCTTAGCGATATTTCTCATTTCAAGATGGTGGCACTTCCGGTTTGGGCTACAAACTCCATTTTTTGTGTACGAATCAGTAGTGTCGTAACTAGTAAAGAAATACAATTTCAAGGCAATCGGACCTATATTTCGTTGATTTATTTTTTAAACTTTGATCCCTAATTTCATCAAGGGGAGATAATATGGAAAATTTCTAATGACATTTTTCAAGTTGTATCAGTAAGATCTACTTATATACTGAATTTCATGAAAATGGTGCAACTATTAAAGAAGTTGTCAAGTTGATTTTAACTTCCGGTTCGAAATCACAGCGACGAATTTTTTTTTAGTAAAATAGGTCAAAAAGTCACAAAGTTACGGCAATGTAGGTCAAATGCATTCGTTCGTAAAATTCGGTGATTTCGGATGTGTAAAACGTTTTGAAAACATACCTATTCCAAAGCCACCACCCATTCTTGGGGGGGTAGGTCAAAGTTTCAGAAAGATCCCACGGTTAGATTCTGAGATATAAGATTTGCAGGAAAAACACAAAAAAAAAACAAAAAAAAATAATAATAGTAATAATAATCTTAACAGAAACAATAAGCTTTCATATGTAATACATATGAAAGCTTAATAATATTAACTATGTATTTTATGGGGGAGCTAGCTGGTGGATCACAAGATTAATTAAACAGCTGTTGATTCCGGTTCACTTTGGATATTTTGGCTCAAGTTGAAGTGAAGTAGTTCCTCTGCCGATGACTTATAACCAGGAATTTGAACTATACTGTGTATACGTTTTATAGAACCATCTGTTCCATCAGGTTTTCGTTCACGGATAAAGATTTTTCCGTGACGAGTCCAACATCCATTGATTAAGTTTGATTTGAATGATTTTCTAGTGTCTTTAAAGATATGAGCTCTGTACCGTGTTAAGTCCTCATTTATATATATGTTATCTTTTGCTGAGTTAACGACTTTCTTGCCATGCATAATTTATACTTTAGTTTTATAACTAGACAGTCTAACAATAACCTTTTTGGGGTTTCCCATGACAGGTTTACCAACCCTGTGACTATTTTCAATGTCAGTGGGTGTTATGGCTAGGATAACTTTTTTGAGGACTTCGATTACTTTATTTTCAACTACTTCGTTTGTTGTTTCAGCAATACCACTTATCCGGATGCAGTTTCGCCTACCATATTGCTCCAAGTCATCACATCGTTCATTTAACATGCCATTTAGCTGCAGTGTGACAGACGAAATCTCATATTTTAGTTCATTTATTTCCTTTCGTAAGGGAGCAATATATTTATCCATCTCTCCTCTCAGAATAAGTCTTATCATAGGTCGGATGGCATTCTGGACCTCTGGTTTCCCAAATCCTCTGGATAATTCCAGGGTAACTGCATTTAGTGTGCTGGTAAAAAGCCTCATCAGGGACTGGAGTGGATGAAAGAGGGATGGAGTTTTCAGGCTTGTCATTTATTGGGGATTCCGCGTCACTCATAGTGGTTTCTAAATATTCGTAGTTGTTGTTAGGTTCAATGTTTTCAGACATGAAGTTGGTAATTGTACTCTGCTGGAGTTTACTTTTTTTTAAATTACAGCTTTTAACACCAGTAGCCAAGAGTAAGTCTATTTGGATTTGAAATGGGGAAGTGGAACCCTTTCTTTTCCTGTCTTGATTGATATTGATAGTAATGATTTAATAGTAATAAAGTATATGATACCACTGATAAGTTGATGTTGCTTGCCTTTAGTTTAGGGTCTGGCTGTTAAACTTGAGTCAGTCAAAGAAATCACAAAACATAAACAACAAAGGTGGCTGCTCACAAAGCAAGCTTTCACAGTCGATGGAGATTTTCTCTCAAAGGTCCTTTTAATTCAATATGAGTTATTACTTTTATATATTGATTACTCCAGGCACTTCAGGGTGTATGGATTTTATCTCAATACCTTAGTTATTATGTGTTATTTAATCACTTTCACTAATTATTAAAGCTCACAAAGAGGAGTCTAACTACTGGCGGCCATGTTGTTCGGTTGTTTATATATTCTTGAAGGAGACATGGGTGGCTTCAAATAATGGTATACATAAAAAAAATCGAATGGGCCCTTTCCTATTACTTTTATATATTGATTACTCCAGGCACTTCAGGGTGTATGGATTTTATCTCAATACCTTAGTTATTATGTGTTATTTAATCACTTTCACTAATTATTAAAGCTCACAAAGAGGAGTCTAACTACTGGCGGCCATGTTGTTCGTTTGTTTATATATTCTTGAAGGAGACATGGGTGGCTTCAAATAATAGTATACATAAAAAAAAATCGAATGGGCCCTTTCCTAAAACGAATAAAATTTCAAAATACCCTAAAAATAGTGAAATTCAGAGACAAAGTGCTCAAACTATTCAAAAAAAGTAGGGGATATTTGATTTTTAAGTGTTATTAAAGTCACCTAATGAAACTGACGAAGAAACAAATGACAAAATGAAATGAAGTTCACATTCATCGATTTATTCCAAATGATCGTTAGACTAAGTAAGGCACAGACTGACCATTATAAGGGTAAAATGATACCCGGGGTCAAACAGCAAAGTTACCACAGCATCACAACCAAGTCAGTAACGGGTAAATCCTCCTCTGTTTGCCAAACAAGCATTGATCCGACGTGGCATACTCCTAATGAGACGTCTAAGGTCATTTTGGTCCAGATTGTCCCATTCCTGTTGCAACGCAGCAGCAAGTTCTTGGACATTGGCAGGACGTTGTTGACGTTGACGTAACCTCTGTCCAAGCATGTCCCAGACATGCTCGATGGGGGAGAGGTCGGGACTCAGTGCTGGCCAAGGTAATGTGGTGATGTTCTGTTGTTGGAGGTAACCTGTAACGATCCTGGCCCTGTGACATCTTGCGTTGTCATCCTGGAAGATGAAACGGCGGCCATGACGACGTGCGAACGGCACAATATGGATTGCCAAGATGTTGTCCCGGTAGTACTGGCCTGTAACACGCCCTGCAACAACATGTAAAGCCGTTCTTCCAGCAACAGTGATGCCTCCCCACACCATAACAGAACCACCCCCAAATCGATCATGTCTGATGACGTTAACGTCTTGGAAGCGCTCGTTTCGACGACGCCACACCCTCCTACGTCTGTCCAAAAAATCAACAGTGAACCTTGACTCATCTGAAAACATCACATTGCTCCAGCGTCGATTATCCCAGTGTTGACGATCCCTACACCAACGACGTCTTGCCTGAATGTGATGATCTCTCAAACAAGGGATCACGCGAGGACGTCGGGCGCGAAGGTGACCCCTATGCAGTCGATTCCGAATCGTCTGGCCACTCACTCTCACACCAGTGTCTGTTTGAAGACGAGCGCTGATCTGATTTGCTGTGATGACACGATTTCTCAAGGCCAAGGTACGGATAAATCGATCCTGGGCTTGAGTTGTCGCCCTTGGTCGACCTGAGCGTGGTCTGTCCTGTACAGATTGTGTATCACGGTATCTGGACCATAGCCTGCTTATGACAGACTGAGAAACATTCATCGTCCGCGCCACAACCGCCTGTGTTGTGCCGATCTGTAGCATGCCAAGGGCACGTAACCTTTCATTTTGGGTAAGCCGACGCATATCAAAATTTGTTTTCTGGTCACTAAAACAATTAAACTGATGTTTCCACCCTGGAATTCAATGCCACAATTACTGTAACATTCAAAGTCAGAGTCGTGCAAATCTTGGGTTGGACCCCCATGATGATCCCAAGCATCACCTGCATTCCATGCGGTAGCTATTGGTGCGTTTGGGCGTCACATGTAACTGGAAATGTTTCTTCTGTTAGGTTCTATAGTGACTTTTTTCGTAGTCATTTGCATATTTTAGTATTATGCCCCCAAAATCAAATATCCCCTACTTTTTTTGAATAGTATATTACGCCAACTGGGGAGGAGAATCGCACCACTATTTAATAACGTATATATATTACGCCGACTGGGGGCGAAAATGGTACCACTATGTCTGTAACATGAACTGGTGGATAGGAATAGACGGTTTTGTATACAATATGTTTTATTTTATTTTTCAGTTATCGGAAATGGATGACAGATCCAGACTTTGTATGTTTCACTTCAGTTTGGGGTTAAAATATAGCCACATATTGTCAATGTTGGCTCAGGCCCATTCCATTATAATTAGTCTGAGTACATTGAAAAGGATTCTGCGAGTGAATCGGTTGCACAGAAGAAAGAACTATTCTGATCTTCTCCGAGTTGTTTTATTCATAGAAAACAAACTGAATGTAACTGGGGGGCAGGTCGGAGGATACCGTTGGCTGCATCTACAGTGCCGTCATAATGGGTTAAACATTTCGAGACACACAGTTCAAACTTTATTGCAAATCCTTGACCCTGTTGGTGTACAGCTGCGTTTGTCTAAACGCTTAAAGAGAAGACAATACTACGCCAAAGGGCCAAACTATCTGTGGCATCTGGATTCCGACGACAAACTAAAACGATACGGATTGTGTATCAATGGCTGTATGGACAGATTTTCCAGGTGTATTATATGGCTCAATGTATTTCAGACTAGCAATGATCCAAAAGTTATTGCTGGATATTTTATCGAATCAGTCCGTGAAAGAAAAGGGTGTCCGTTTTTGATGAGAGGGTATCGTTGTACTGAGAATGAACATGTGGCACACATGCAATATTTTATGACGGAAAGAAAATCATTTATTTATGGAAGAAGTACTGCAAACCAAAGAATTGAAATGTTTTGGAACCTGGTTCGAAAACAATGTGTCCAGTCATGGATGGATGTATTGGGTTCTTTGGCTGATGATGGAATGTTTGATGGCTATTTTCTTGATAAATGTCTTATTCAATTTTGTTTTCTTCATGTACTGCAGGTGAGTAATGCCCCGATAGATTACAATGACGATAGTCATAATTATTGATGGTTATTATTGATTATATGCTTTTCGTTTCTCTTTCAGGAAGATCTCGATGAAATGTCAAAAACCTGTAATACCCATCAAATACGGCCTACAAAGAACCAGAACTGCCCACATGTTAGGCCACTGGTCATGTATTCATTACCAGCGCTGTACGGCACAAATAATTACCTTCACGAAGTCAGTGAACATATGATGAATGCTTGTGCTGGAGAATGTAGATTTCGGGGTGGTATCATATGTGACGAGGATATTGCTGAACATGTACGAGAACTACTGGCACCCCGCATCGGATCGCCAAGGAGCCGTACAGCTTTATAGAAATCTGCGAATGGCTATTTACAGAGATTTAGACTTAAATTAAGCAATACTTGATTTATATCCTATTTTGTGCTTTAAATAAACGAAGTTATTATTTCCAAAAGTCTTTGTTGTCAAACGGAAGGGATTAAAATAGCCAAAGTACTCTACTAATACACATTATCGGTTAGGCCTACCTGGCTGAATCATTTGTCAATAAAGTCCCAACCTAAGAAAGCTATTACGAAAATTGTTTCGCATCGCTCCGCTAGACTTGAACATAAATATGAAGATAAAATCTACATTTCAAGCTTCAGATTTCTAAGTTTACTTGTGTTTTTATATATTACATTTGCTTGACCTGTTGGGACACAAGAAATATACAACCAGCTTATACATCATAGAAAATGTTATAAAAATCCCCAAATCACAATACTAAACCTGGGTCGCTAACCTCGAAGGCTTAGGGTCACCAAGAAAGTTCCGGCGAGGTTTCCTAGTGTCAGTTGTGCAGGGCCCTGTGGGGATTGGGGGAGGCTGATGACAAGGAACAGTGCATAGTTCTTCGGATGGTACAAAACAAACCAAATACCCGTAAGAGCGAGCCGTATTGCCGATTTCTGAGCAACATTTACCCCATAGCACAACCCATTACCTCGGATGGAGCAAAAAAATATGACATAAAATCCAATTTTTTCATTATAATATAAAAACGCAGGAGGTGGGTGGCCGAACTGTTAACGCGTGCGCGTTTGATCACAAGGTCTGTCATTGGGTCAAACGGCATGGCTTCGAATTTCCACTTGTACGTGGCAAGGAGTAGGGTCACCTGTCCAACCCCGTGGTTTTTTTTTCTGGTCCCACGGCTTCCTTTCAATGCGAAAGTCCCCTACACGCAAGCGAATAATTGAATTTAAACTAAACCAAATGTTAGTTTGTGTCGAGTGGACGTTAAACCGCTCTCTCTCCCTCCCTCTCTCTCTCAATGTCTAAAAACGCAATATATATTTCAAGGGCTAGAATAAATATGCATGAGTTAGGCTGGGTCCACCCTTTTGTTACATCCATTTGCCGGGAATGATAGGTGTTCCCACATGTTCGTGGGAAATCAGAACTAAGCCAGGGGCAACATATACAATGGAAGTAAGAATGTCCCAAAGTGTGATTTTGGGAAACAACGTAGGCAAAGGCCCCAATAACAATTTGCATAGCCTATGCTCGACATAAATCTAGTTTCAGCCCCACCTTCATACTCCTCGCAGTGTTTCGTTTGATTAGAGCTAAACCCACTTAACACTGCTGTAATGGAAGCTAATTTCTGTTCTAAATTATGACTGGTCATTAGTCCTATTAACAACCAATAGCTAACTACGTAACAATATCATAAGGCTTTAAACAGAGTCCCAAATTGGACCAAATAATGTTTACATAACGTTACGTCATGACTCACGATTTTATTACACCCAATTAACCAGTGGATAGCAGAATATTGCAAAAAAAACTAATTGTGTGACGAACCAAGCCATCAAAATGGATACAATGTAAACAATTCTGTTTGGAGACGAACAATACTTCCATCGTTTTTAATAGCTTAAATCACTGTCCAAAGTTTTAAGGAAGACCCCAGATGAAACGAAGGGCTGCCAAGTTGCTGTACTTGGGATATATTTGATTGAACGGGACGAATAGTCACACTCCCTCAAAAGCTCAAGTATCAGAAGCCAATCCAGCAATGGCCAGAGAGGGATTTCTCGGGCCAATGCTTCAGGAATATGTCCCACCCCTTCCCTCCAAATTTCTATATGAGGCAAAAACAGCATGTAACTTATGCATGAAGAGTAAACTGACTAGTCTGGATTTGAAATCATGACAGCTAGATTAGACGATGCCACCTCTTGGCTATTTAGACCATGTGAAGAATTTAAATCAGCACTTTATTAACAAATTCTAAGTACGAAATGAGTAACTAACATAAATCAAAATTAATGCAACCTTTTCATTTGCTGTATGCATGTAAAATTTAAATAGTTAATAAAGTCCTCTTATATTGATAACCCTAAACAGTTCTGTTGAATAAAACAAAAATTATACTGCACGCTACTTTCTTTGTGCCCGTGTACACGAATCAAATAACTACTACAATATAATACTGTGTGTAATTAAAAGTTGTTTGTAAGATATGTTATCATTTATCAACAATATTATATTATATCCATGATCCAAATATTATGGCTGAGTATGCTGTCAAATTCATATCGGAAATCCATAAAACTTTCATATGCTCTTGGCAGTTGAAGCACGCAACCACATGTGTGGGCGGTAGGTCGCCGTTCTAACCCTGTTAAAGCTGTGAACTCAACTGTTATTTCTTTAACTGTCATGAGATCAGACCCTGTGCAGGATCTCATGAACTGGCCTAGTTTTCCGATATCTATGGTTTTTATATATCTTTTGAGATCCTTAGCAACGTCATTCTCAATGGCATTCATGGTTTCAGGAAATCGGAGTAATCCTATGACCTTTTTAGCTGTAGGCGTAATAGTCCCGTATATTTCGTCTATTTTATTACGGTCAACTTTTGCTTTCAACAATTCTTCTTTCATGCAGTTACCTACAAAAGTGGGCTTTTGTACAAGAAGAGTGTGCGCAATTTCAAGGAGTATAGGTTTGATGGTTTCTGCTGTTGGGCGATTTCTACAATCATACGAATCTAAGCTTTCTAGCAAATCATCAATGTCCACTAACTGAAAGGTTTCACATGCCTGTTGAAAAACATCTTTGTCTGGTTCAGCTATGAAATGCCAGAAATCATCCATCAAAGTAGAACTTTCTACTTCTTGTTTGTAAATAATGGAAAGAACAAATGCTCTTGAAAGTTTTACAGGCCCGTATCCTGTTGTGTTATTGCCATACAGCAATAAACGCCCAACTGCCTGCCATTCTATCGTCCCCATGTCATGTCGAAGGGAAGGGACCTTTGCCTCGCGCCCCACTGTACACATATCATAAACATGCTCCCAGAATTCACTTAGCATGTCTCTTATCACCCCACCAGTGTCCATTGCCATTTCCATTTGATCATTCGGCAGCACCCTACTAACAGTGATACGTTTGGTGGCTATTTCCGGATCCTTAAAATAAGAAATTATCTCAAAAAGCGATGTGGAACCCCTGCGTATGGTCATTTCATGTGAATTTGGTGGTTCCGGCGTGGAACGGTCTTCGGGTTGGGCCAAATCGTCGTCACTTAAAAAGTCTAATGTTGGTGGCAGTTGTGAACCAGCTGCTGTTGGGAGTGATGACTGGAACTCAAAAGAAACATCTTCATCTTGATAATGTATTGGGCTAGGTTCCTCTTGTGAACAAGTGATAGAGGTGCTTGCAGTCATACTCTCTGTTGTAATATTTTCATTCCTAAATCCTCCATCCCAATGGAAAGGAGACTCGAAAAATTCTAATTCATCAATAACATCTGGCAGAGAACTTGCAATACTTGTTGAACTAGATGCATTTACTGTTGGTGATACTGGTAGTTATTTGTGTCTTGGTGGATACATCATCATCCGCTATCACAGGAAATTTGGATGAAGTTCTCTCGCGTCTCTTTTTAGAGGTAAATTTAGGCGATGTTGTCCCTATTCCAGTTTGACTATCCTCTTTAGCCTTTGTTGTCATGTGAAAACGTAAAATATTCATACCAGTTTGTTCATAAAGTTTACCAACTGTATCTTCGGTATTAACTTCCTCTTCAGAGAAATCTCAAAATCTTCAATTCTGCCAAGTTTTGATTTGCCATCAACAAAAAAAGCTGTTTGGCCTTTTCAATGATGTCAGATTTTGTTGCAGTTTTTAATATATCAACCTTCCTCGTCCCGCCTCCTGACAGTTTCCGTATTTGTTTGAAAACATCATCCTCTTTATGGTAATTTAACCACCCTATTTCTATTTTCCGGGATTTTTTAGAAGCGTGGGTATTTCCACTCAAACGGACACTTACATCGTTTTTTGGCATTTTAGAAGTCGATCTGCTTTCACCTTGATCGCAAAGTCTTTGTTTTAAAGCGTCCAGAAGTTTCTGCTTTTTGTCTGTTTTAGGCTTTGAAGAACAAAATTGCTTTACCGCTATTCTATCGCCTTGTTTTGAAATAAATCTAGCAAGTGGGCTATCATCAGCTGCTTCTATGGCTTCTCTGTTAATTTATAAACACAATGTCAGAAGATAAAGATTTTGGATGGACCATAAAGTATGCAATAAATAAAAATATGCCCAGTTAATCATATCGCGACACCGCCGTGCACGAGAAGGTCAAAGGAAAAAGCCGCCTCATTACGCTTTTCTCTATATTAACACGCACGAAATTAATAAGGACAATTTGTGCAGAATTTCCCTAAAGCCTAGACCATTTGAAGGAGCTAAACCTGTTACTCAATATTTTCCATAATATTCGAAATTAAAATCACGAATTAGAATTCAATATTGGCCCATTTCAATTAATATTGATGTTGTTATTATGCTGTGAAATTATAGGATCCTAATATCCAATATTAAAGACGCAATAAAAATTTTGAAATCTGTACACTACGGTTTCGGGTGCGATTTGCATCGAACAAAGACAAAAATATCCTACAAGACAATGTGGAAGTAATTAGTAATGGGTGGTTAAAAAACGAGAAACTTATCATTTAAAAATAAACTTGTAGTGTGGCCTGAGCAGGCGGAAACGACTGCCGTTCAATTTGGACAGTTCAAGTATTTCAACTAACATAACTGATTATAAATTGCAATAAGAATTTAAGAATTGAATATAAATCACTTCGTATACATTCTATTACATTAATATTAAAATATGTGCTTCTAGCATCATCGATTGTAATGATGTAACTCCCACTCCGTCAACTGCTCCACACCCATCGATAAAATGAAACGACAAATACCAATACTAGACAAATACTTGAAAATACGCATTATATCTCTACCTTTTCCTCCACCATTATCTCCATTTCTCGTTTAGTGAGTCCCCTATTGTACAAGAATTGCTCTAATTTCTCGTCCATGCTGGTGAATAATGGTGATTTTGGCCTATCTTATAATAACGATAGCTATCTTGTAATTACAAGATAGTTATTTTGTAAGCTATCTTGTAATATCAAGATAGCCTATCTTGTAATTATTACAAGATAGCTATCTTGTAACTACAAGATAGCCTATCTTGTAACTACAAGATAGTCAGAATTTTTTTTTCATTTAATTGACCCTAATGGGCTTCCGTATAAAACTCTTTTGTACGTGGTAATCAACCCAATCTTTAATAACAGATATAAACTTGTAACCATTCGGACAAATCAAAGGCCAAAAACTCGCTGTACCATAAGCTTTACATTCAACCACATATTTCAAAATACGTGATATCAAACACACACTCCAATATCTATATAGAATAAAATACATCATGATTATGTTCTGATGCAATTAACCTTTTGTTACCATTGCTCTGAATAGACACTGATAGTGGATTAACATCTCTTGAAGGAACTTGACATCTACTCACCAGACCCCTTACCTCTAAATCTTTAGGGGGGGGGGGGGCTGAATGGTTAGCACGTGCGCGCTGTACCATAAAGTCTGTCATTGAGTCAACTGGCGTGGTTTCGAATCCCCGGTTGTACGTGGCAAGGAGTAGGGTCGCCTGTCCAACCTCGTGGGTTTTCTCCGGGTCCTCCGGTTTCCTCCCACTGCTAAAGACCCCTACGCACAAGCGAATTATTGAAATAAAATTAAACCATGTGTTAGTCCCGAAGTGACCTAGTTTGTGTTGAGTGGACGTTAAACCCCATTTCTCTCTCTCTCTCTCGATCTTTAATAGCCCCTTCTACAAAATCTGAATTATCTAAGGCAGATCTATTATTTCTTAAGAACTTAAAATCTGGAACATCACTAAAAGGAATCTTATAACCATTTTCAATAGCATCTAATATATACGAATTACAATTAATATCTTTCCAGAATTTTACATTTTTACGTAATTGTAACGTTTCCTTGAAGGGGTAACCGCGTTTGGGGTATGGGGAGTTTGGCATCTCTGCCACCAGTGATCAATTCCTGGCTGATCACGAGCCACCGGTAAACGGAACTTCGGAAGGGCGTGTAACGGTGTTTTGCTAAAATTATAATAAGCGTCACTGTAGGAATAAGACAGGCTCGTTCAGTTTTCAAACCTTTATGTAACAAAAACTTTCAAAATATATATACTGAGCGCCATGGAAAACGCATCACTTTTTTTTCCCCAAATGTTTTATTACTAGGTGGTTCTGTATGTATAATATAATGCAATACTATGAACTATTGTTTCACACAATGCTCCCAAACGCAAAACATATAGGCCCGTGTGCACACAAAAAAATTGCACGAGATGCACATGAAAACCCCAATATTTACGTGCAGCATTGTGTGTGAGCCCATTAAAAGCATGTTTTCAACTTAATGTGCAGCACATGAAGTGTGAAACGTCAATCTGTGTGAAGGAATCGAGCTAGAGATGCCGAGACTTACTGAAAATCAACGGAATGAAGCCATGGGAATGGCCAGGGCTGGCATGTCTACACGTGCTATTGCCAGACACTTCAATTGTCATCAGTCCACTATTGTAAGGTTGGTGGAACGTGTTCGAGTTACTGGATCAACACGTGACCGTCAACGTCCTGGTCCACAACGCGTTGCATCCCAGGCTCAAGACCGCTACATCCGGGTCACTCATCTGCGTGACAGATTCCGCCCAGCGACTCGAACAGGTGCAGCAGTCGTTGGAAGAGAAGGAACAGTAAGTGCCAACACCGTAAGACGTCGTCTAAGAGAAGTAGGACCCCGTGCACGACGACCTTATGTTGGAGCTATCCTCAGGGATCATCACCGTCAGCGGCGTTTGGTATGGGCTCAAGGACACCAGACATGGAGAAGAGTAGACTGGCAAAGTGTGCTCTTCAGTGATGAGAGTCGCTTTCACCTTTATCACGCTGATGGCCGTCAACGTGTGTGGAGACGTCTTGGGGAACGTCTTGCAGACTGCTACGTCTTTGAAACGAATGGATGGGGTGGGGGAAGTGTAATGGTGTGGGGAGGCTTCACATTGGAAAGTATAGGCAACCAATCTTACTATAAAAATACTGGATTACCCGATAAACACCAGGGTATCATCAACTGGCAACCCGTCGCATTGTCTGCCAGCTTATTTTCGGCCAACTTGACTTTAGGGACCGGTTGTTATTTCTGGATCGAAAGGTTAGACGGTTTTTGGGGAGAGAGAGAGAGACAGAGAGAGAGGGACAGACAGACAGAGAGATGGGTTTAACGTCCGCCCAACACAGATTAGATCATTTCGGGACTAACATATGGTTTAATTTTATTTCAATAATTCGTCCGCGCCTAGAGATCTTTAGCAATGGGAGAAAACCCACGAGGTGAACAGGTAACCCTAAACCTTGTCACGTACAACCGGGGATTTGAAAGGGCGGTTTTGGGAAAATTGAGGATAACATACTATACAATTAAACGGCAGAAAAAGAAGTTTGCAGAAATTTTTTAGGCCTCAATATGTATGGTAAATGGACAGTAAAATAATGACAAATACATTCTGAAAAAGGTAGTGTTGTCGCGTTAATGCCAGATTTTGGTCATCAGCTACTATACCACAAAAAAAACTAAGCCAGTAACCTCTTACTTGAGTGTGAAATGAAAACTAGAATATAACTATATAGATTAACCTACATGCAAACAACATCTACGTTTCCATTAGCAGACCTTTCGTCATTCTGGAATTTCAAAATACACGACATTGCCCCCGCAGCACAATGTTCCACACCAGATGGCATTTCTGAAATAGTGGAAATTTTTAATACTGTTTTAGTTTAATCACAGTTTATTGACACATATCAAAAGGATCTGGCACAAGTTTAAAAAATTCTAGAGTAGCCCACTCAAAGCATATTGTTATAAAAATTACAAGTTAAACAATATTTAAATAAGTATATGGTTGTATCAGTTAATAAATAACGTAAATAAATATTAAGTAAAAACAAATAAGTATAATATAAATTATATCACAGGAGCCTTAGTTTTTGTTTATATTGATAGTTGCCAGATTGGGGGTAAGTTTATCGGGTTCTTTAATAATCTCGTAGGGTTACTGGGAAGTTAAGAGGTTTGGAGTAGGTGTGTCGGTATTCATAAGAGGTCTTTCTCGATTTTTTAATCGGAAAAAGGATTGTTCTATCTTCTCTAATGACTTTTTTTATTGACATTCTAGTGCACTACCGTCTGCAAACAAATGAAATAAAATATGGTTTAATGGCACGTCACCTCCAACCGGGATATATTGCGAAAACATATGGTGATTATTTCGAGACATAGACATGGCAAGGTTTGGGGGCGTTTGGAAATGTGGACAATGAAATATTTATGAAATATTTTCTCTTTATTTCGCTGAAACAATACTAGTTCATCCTATCATCTTGTAAGATGTGGGGAAAATATATTCTACAAAATATTATACTGTGGTGTTTTTGACCACAAGAGTTCCACAAGAAATTGGACAATTTTTTCCAAAAATTCTTCTCAGACCTCCTTATACGCCTGTGTGGTACCACATTCCACAAGATTTTCGATACAGCGTTTTGGGTCTGTGGGTTTTTTTTACCACAAGAGTTCCACAAGATATTGGACATAGAAAAAAAAAATTTTTTGTCAAAAAATTCTTCTCAGGCCTACCTATGTGCCTGTGTGGTACCACATTCTACCAGACTTAGATAAAAAAAAAAAAAAAATTTTTTCAAAAATTTATTTAGAATTAAGTTTCTGGTGGTACTTCTCAATAAAATAGCTTTCTTTTGCCTCCAAGAGATCGTTGTTCTTGCTATTAAGACTATATAAAGGAAAAACACTAAATTTGCTTCATAAAATGTTAAATAGAATAGATGACAGTATTCAGTTTACAATTGAGCAGAGTCAAACCACATTAAATTTTCTGGATGTGACAGTTAAGCTACACGCGAACGGCTCTATTGAAACTGATGTGTATTACAAAAAAAACCCGATACACATCAATATCTTAAAAGACAAGATGGCCGACAGGTTGTAGTCACGAATCTTCGCTCTGTCCCTTTTGTGACAAAATTACTAAGAGATCTTTACACGTGCATATATGGATAGTTATAAATTCAAAATATATTACATCCGTACAAACTAGTTTCAAATAATATAGTGTGTGCATTATTTTCGTGTTCTGAACAACAACAACAACAACAGACAGTCTAGTGTGTTTGGATAAGTCCGCCATACTTGTTTGTGTAACCATCGCCTCATCACCACAGCTGAAGAAAACACAGTGTGATATACAGAATGTTAGAGGAGGAAAGCAATATTGAAAATTCGGCAACTTCTACCCTGACTGGGCTTCTAGAAAAAGGTCGAAACGAGCTTCCAATCTCTTCTAAACCGAAAGGTAAGAAACGCCTCCACTCTGTTTCTCCAAAGTATATGCAGAAGGCTATCTACAGAATGTCAAAATCCCTCTACAACATGAAATCACCTAAAAAACAAAGAGGAATTAAATCAATGTTAACCCAAAGTGAGCTACGGGGAACGTCCTTATCAAAACCTAATGATATAGAGAATACAGTCCCTAAAACCTTAGTCGAAAACACCCTTCCAAAGACCTTTAACTTTAACCAAACACCAGAATCCACCTCTGTTCTTTTACCTGATGATAGCGATACCATGGAAAGTGTTTTTCTAAATTCCACCGCTGACTCAATCTCAGAAAAAATTGTCGAGGCTTTGTGCCTACCAAATGTCCAAAAAGCTCTACAGCTCTCTATTAAAGAACTCTTGCAAGAAAATATAAAAGATTTCATTAAACCCCTAAAAGAGGAAATCGAAGACTTAAAGGGACAGTTACTAAGCTGTGCACTGGATCTAGAACAAAAAATCATCAATGATACAGACGAACTCGAGCAATACAGTCGTCGGAATTGTGTCCGGATAAATAGGGTAGGTGAAAATGCAGATGAAAATGTAGAGGATGTTGCCCTTGAAATAATTAACTGTGTATGTCCTAGTTTTGGTCACGGTCATATAGAAAATTGTCATCGAGTAGGGAGAAAGAGAATCCCGTATAATACAAAGGGAGAAACGGAAAATGGGCCCCGCCAAATTATTGTTCGACTATCTAGCTACAAACACAAAAGACAACTTATGAGTGATCGTAAAAAGTTGAAAATATTCCGTGCAAACAATCCTACAGTCTACATAAACGAAGATCTGACAAGACGACGATCGTATCTTTTTAGTCTTGCTAGAAAAGCATATCGCTCCAAAGATCTGCATAGTTGTTGGACGTTTGATGGAAGGATTTATTTCCGAGAGTTCTTAAAGGATGGTAAAGGGAGTGATCCAATTCGAATTAACCAGAAAAGCGATATACCAGGCTACAAAATTGGCGACCCACTTAACGCACACGAAACACTAGATGTTTATTAGTAGTCTTATAATTGTTGGTTATAATTACCATGTTATTGTCAAATATAATATAATTTATACTAGACTATATTTCAGAAAACTTAATCTAAGTTCTAGAATATGCTAAACACATTGGTTGGATAATCATTTTTACTATAAAGCTCTGGCATGTCATCACTGTGTCAGGTCATGTCAAGTCATATGTCACGTATTTGTCAGGTTGATAATATGCCTGCCATTAGATAATACTTATAATAAGCAAACACTTATAATAACTAAGCATATAAGTTGGTAGCCCCTATTCTACCACATGTCACTGTTAATAGCATATTATATTATAGATTGTTAAAACAAAGTAACAACAATTGACATTACTATAACTGTCAAGTTAATCTACAAAAGTGGAATTAATAATTCTCATGCGGTTGAAAATCAAAATATTAAACTATACCAATAAGATTATACCAATAAAATTACTTACAGATAAGATTGATTTATATAGATTACATTTGTACTAAATTAGAACTGTCGTATTACCATCATGAAGACAATATTAACACTTGTAACAGATTGTGTTCACCTAAATTTTACATGTTATAGATATGATCCACATTGATAGAATATTTTTTGTTATAACGCTGGGGGAGGGGGTGGGGGTGTTAGGCAATTTTCTTTCATATTTGTCATGTCATTGTTAATCGATAATATTTAACACGTATTAGGTTTTCTTAAGCTAATAGATACTTCTTTGTTTACAACTGACATGACAATGGGGGTGTCATGTCCTGTGATGCCTCTGTCAAGTATACATAGATCATTATCTGTCAAATTTCTAAGACATTGTCAGTTGAAAATATTTAACATGTATTAGTTATATAGAGACTTCTTTGCTCACAACTGTCAGTGACACTGTCAGTGTCACATCCTGCCATACTACTGACAAGTATAAAGATCATTATCTGTCATATTGTCATTTCATTGCCAATTGAAAATATTTAACATGTATTATCAGTGACATTGTCAGTGTCACATCCTTCCATACTACTGTCAAGTATAAAGGTCATTATCTGTCAAATTGTCATTTCATTGCCAACTGAAAATATTTAACATTTATTAGATTTTTAACAGTTACGTCAATGTCAGTCGGAAACACGTTGTTCTGTTTACAAACTGTGAGCGACTTTGTTGTTGCCATGTTTTGCCATACCATTTGTCAAGGACCTAGATATTTTGTCAAAATGTCATGCCATTGTCAATTGAAAACATTGTTTTGCCATTTCAGTCGAAATTATTTCAGAAGTATTAGCTCTCTCTTAAGTTAACAGACATGACTTATTACCGAAGCAAAGGTATATTGTCCTTGTCATAACCGGCCGGGGACATTGTCCCTGTCAAACACGAAGATCACTATCTGTCAAAACTGTCATTTCATTTCTAATCAAACATAGATAGCATTATCCCAGTGCCAGTAGAAATTATTTAGCATGTAATGGGTTTCCTTTAATTTAATAAAACTTGTTTTTGTATTAAACTGTGAGCGACATTGTAGTCATGTCATGTCCTGTCATGCCACTGTTAAATTCATCAATATCACGACATTGCCAATTGAAAATATTTAACATGTATTAGTTATATCTTAAGACTGCTCTGCTCACAATTGTCAACGACATTGTCAGTGACACACCCAGCCATACTACTGTCAATTAAAAAGATCATTATTTGTCAAAAAATTTTTTTATTTTTTTTTATTTTTTTTATTTTTTTATTATATTCATATCTATATGTTAAAAAGGTTGTGTCAATGTGAATCGGTACTGTTAGAAATTTGTTTTGCTTGCAACTGTGAGCTACATTGTAGTTGTCATGTCCTGCAACACCACTGTCAAGTACTTAAAACATCTGTTAAAATGTCATGTCATTGTCAATTGTAAAAACATTGTTTTGTCAGTGTCAGTTGAAATTATTACATAAGTATTAGTTTCTCTCCTAATTTAAGAGAAATGTTTTTGTTAACGAAGCCAGGGGCATTGCCCTTGCCATAACCGGCCATGCCACTGTATCATTCTATCTATCTGTACAAAAATGATATGTCAATGTAATTTGAAATTATTCATCATGTATTATTAATTGTTTGGTAGACTTTATGCATGCACGAAGCCGCAAGGGTGACACTCCATTCACATATCTACTAAGTATATGAACCCTTTCATGTATTAGATTGTGCTATTATTGACAGATAATTTCTGACATAGCTGTCGTGCTTTGTTAAATTTTAATGAAGTTACTAAGCTGGAAACTTTCATACATCTATAAGACATTGCTTTAGTTATATGAATTGCATCATGTCATAAAAATGAA